GTCCAAAAGCAATAGACTCAACATCCAACACTGTGAATCAAAATAAACCTTTCTTCTTATAAACTTATCATCTCAGGTATTTGTTATAGTGATGGAAATCTAACTCATGAGACTAGCATTTTATCTCAAAGGTAGAAAAGTCAAATTCAAAAAGAGCAAGTATCCAAAGACATTTAACAAGTAGAGTAGCCAGGATTTAAGCAGGTTTTCTGATACCAGAGACTGATTTTATAATAAATATATAGATTTTTAAAATTATTTTTTATTCATATTCTAATGTTAAATATTTCTAGTGATGAATATTGTTATTACTTAAAGTAGTGAAATTGAGCTCTATTTAATTTTTGTGAGTAAAAGTTTTATTTTGCTCCCAGCATACACAGAATAGTTTGTGAAATCCATGAATGAAAATGATGTGGCTCCTATCTTCTTTGAGAGAAAGTACTTGAATGCAAGGCACTCATAGCTAGAATAAAACCCAGGGAATCAGGAAAGACATAAGGCACTGGCGTTTAAGGAAGAACAGGCTTTAGCTGAGGCTAGGGACTGCTGGCCGCTCCAGACATACAGCGCTTCACTGATCAATGTTATCAGCAATATTAGCAAAACTGCAGATCCTGCAAAGTGGGCACCCGAAAAGCCAGTACACAGACAGGGCTTAGGAGATGGCAGTATTATGTTCATGAATGACTCATTCATCTTAACCTCTATTTTCTATCTTTAGCATGAGATCATCAAGAACTTTGGTGAGTGATTGATCTGAATAATTGCCCATTGAAGTTTGGACATTAGTTTCTCATAAGAGGCTGATAAAACTTTATTATTACATGTTTGAAATGTTATTCTCATTGCATTTTAAGTACAGTATAAAGTATGTTCTAGCCAAAGCTTCATTGTTTTATTTTTTCAATCCATGAAGAAGCAGAGTAAATTAAAACCATGAATATAAAAGGCAACTTTGCACCCCACAGTGACGGTTTGGTAGAGAGGGAGGGCAGTGTAACACAGTTAAGGAACTGCCAGAAACTCTTAGCTTTTACTCAAACCAGACTCCAGAAACTTTCGCAGCAGGAAGAATTAATCTTTTATTTCACCCTGGGGGAAGTGTGTGTTTTTTCCCTAATATAGGAGCAAAAATTTTCACACCTTTGTGCCAAAGCAAATATTGCCATCTGCTAATTTTTTTATGACACTATATGTGTTGTCTAGGAAATAGTAATAAGGTCAGATTTTGATTGAATATAATATTAATTATCAAGATTGGGAGCATCCTCCAGTGGTGATATATAAAATAATGTGACATAAAAATTATAGTCTGAAATTTAAAACCAATCGAAACTAAAAATAAGAAAGAAAATGTAGAAGTCAAATTTACTGAGACTCAGAGAATCATTCCTCATGTGAAAGTGTTTGAGAGAGATCTAGTTCCATTCAGAACAATGGCTTTAATATGCAGGAGGAACTTTTAAAGCTTTGAAGTAATAATAAATTGCCAACATTTGCTGTTTTTGATGGGCAGATTTGCAGTTTGTGATGACAGTTACGTAGGAATCAATCTATTTACCCTACTTAGTTAACAGCTTAACAGTTGTTAGTTCAGAGAAAGAGACTGTAGACAGGGTGGGGAAGGGAACTCACCTTTCATTCCATATGGAAGATTGAAAGACTTTGCACTTTGGGTTTGTCTAGCCATCATTTACTTAGTAAGAATGATCAATATTTTATTGATGGACACTATATTCATTTGTATACCGAATAAAGTTATTATTTTTCTAAGTTTTATTTAATAGAGGTGGGAAGGGCATATATTCATATATTATTTGTTTTCATAAACAGTCCCATCCAGTATCTCACAGACTGACTAGGAAATAGACATGCTTCTAACTGACATCTTTACAAGGCAAGTTTATTTTAACTGCTATGATAGCAGAAAGGGTATAACAATTGGCATAAGATTGTCTCTTGCTCTCAATCTGATAGGTGGCTTTATTCCCTGCTGTTGCTGAGGGCTGAGGTTCTGGTGCCTGTACCAGGGTGGTCAAGACCAGTAGTCTGCTGAAAGCCAGAAGATCATTAGCACATAGCTTATTGAGGGGATTAATTTCTACTTTCCTGAGGAGACTGAATTCGGATATTGCAAGTCTGTGGCTACACTTTAACAAAACTCAACTCTTTCTAACCACAGGCATATTCTTTCAAATTTATGCTGTTTTCATGGACCTGACAAAAACCTATTTTTCATTTGTAATCATAACCACTACAGAAATAAAAAAAACTTTAAAAAGGTGTTTTGGCACTGTAAATTTAGAGTTAGATTTAATATTTTTAAAATTCAAAAATAAATCATCAGTTAAGGCGTAGGATATTGTGATGCAACTATTCTCTGCAGGCTTTTTAGCTACAAGAAAACATTTCTATATTTTGATCTGAGGTTCTACTATGTTAATCATTCTTACTCTCTGAAGTGCACACTGATAAAATTGTGAGGCTACGAAAGACAAATCTGTAAGGAAAATATAAGAAGAATCATTATGCACTGAGTCATTTGTCCTTACATGGTACCATGTCCCCTCCAAAAGAAGTGAATGAAATATACTCAATCCAGGCACAGTAAACTCCATGTACAGAATCTGGCAAACTCACATTTGGTCAAATAGTGAACAGAGAATGGAGAGGTTCACAGGCATGGGAATGAACAAAGGACACAGGATCTGGGATGTGAGTGGGGACATGATTAGCAGCTCAAACATAAGGTAATCTCTAAAGGCAATTTGCATTTTCTGAGCTCTCCAGTGGGCTAAGCAGGACACATTCTTGTTTAGCCCTGCACTAGAGCAACAGGATTATTAATTATGCAAACTTTTTTTGATGAGTAAAAGAATTTGAGAATGACTCAGCAAGAGATTTCAAAAGCAGTGCCTCTACCTGCTTACTGAACATGTTCTGTCTGCTTTGTGTTGGGGGAGGGGAGGGGGGTAAAAATTTAAGATCTGTAGGAGGGACCTTCACACTGCAGTGGTCTTTGAGAAAGTGCCCTTCTTTTGTGAAGAACACAGAATCAGTGCAGTTTCACCTAATCTTCCTATTCTTTTACCTTGTGGTGAAAATAACTGATACTTCTTCAAGATTAGTTTAATACTTTTCTGTTACACCCATAATAAAACCTGGTCAGATTTCCAAAGGAACAACAGGCGGGCAGGCTTTACCTGTCAAAGGGATGTGTGTGTGTGTGTGTGTGTGTGTGTGTGTGTGTGTGTGCTCGCGCGCGTGCGTGTGTGCATATGTGTGTGTATGTGTATCTATCACACTTTTCTCTAGATGAAACTGTGCAGGTTGATAGTAACTAGGAAACCGGGTTTGTCAAATAAAGATGTAAAGACAACAGACAGTGTTTTACAAGTTCCTGCTAAAGTGACAGCTAAAGATTTAGCTGGAAAAGCAAAACTCCCACTCCCCAGTCCCCTGGAAGCTTGGGAGGGCAGTAGTCTCACCTATTTTGGAAACTACTTGCAGATGTGGAGAAACCTGGGAATTGCTCTCACACACTGGGCTTTTGCAGAGATTTCCTCTGATGTGTTTCCCTCCTCAACTTCCCACAACCTGTGTTTGTCTTGCGTCTGCCGGGCTGACATGTGGTTTACCTCTGCGGATCCAGCTGCCAGGCTTTACACACTCTGCTCCTCCGAAGTAAAACAAGTGAAGCCTAAGGGTAGGAGCAGCTCTGGACTTGGGCGCCAGAACTGTCACAGAAAATTGGTTTGCTGAGTACTCCATCCAACTTCCCTTCCTGCGCCCACGTGAGCCACAGCGCCAGCCCATCAGCGAGGTCTTAGCATTTCCTGCTGCTGCTGCAATCTGTAACTCGATTTCGGATTTTTTTTAAAAAAAAAATTGCAGTTCTGCAGATCTTAGTTCTGAGCAAAACTTTCAGGGTAGGAGAATTCTATAGTAGTATATTTTCTTACGTAGATCGTGAAAGGTCAGATAATGTTTCTCTTTCCTGGGGCTACAAGAAAGCTAAACAACAGCAAAGGCAAGAAACACACACTGGCTGTTTATTTGGAAGAAGGGGAAAAATTTGCAGCTAAGTTGTCAGATGCCTCTTGCCACCCCCGGTCTGGCACTCTCAACTGACACATTCATCATCTATTAATTGCTCTTTGCGGACGCAGACACACATAATGTATTCATTTTTATCTTTAGTAAAATAGAAATGGAATCGTGAGCGTGCTCCTGTCTGTTTGTTTGTATAAGGCTATCAAAAGAAGTCAGAGACGAGGCTGTGGCCCGGATCCTGACCCTGATTGTATGAATAAGTAAGCAGGATGCGAGTGATTGGGTTAGATGCTGCGAAGATTTTTTTTTTTTTCCAAGTTAGGAAGAGGGTAAAAAAGACAGCCTGGGGAGAAAAGGCAAACAGTGCATCCCCAAATCCTCACACTTTTACTCTCCTTGCAGTCAGTGGCTTCTCCGGCTCCTGCAGGCTTTTGAGGTCTCCCAGAGTAGACATGCCTGGCCCCCACCCCCTTCCTCGGTCTCCCCTTTCAGTTCAGATGTGCTGATGTGCAGACCGGATTCATCTTCCCGGAGCGGCGGCAGTGGCTCTCGCTCGGCCGCGGGGTCCTGACAGCGGCGGGGGTGCGGCGCGGAGCCCGAGCGCGAGGACAGACAGCAGAGCCGCGGGAAGTTCGGCCGCCAGAAGGACGACCTGGCCGGGGCAGGCGCCCGCGCCGCCCAGCGGAGTTGGCCCGCAGCCGCCCCTGGCCGCCTCGCGGAGCGAAGTGGCTCACCTGCCCTCGGCCCACCCGCGACCCCCCTCGCCGACACCCCCTGCAGTTGGGGGTCCCAGGCAGCGCTCGCACCCGCATGTCTCCGGACACCTGAGCACCCCGGGCCCGCCGAGGAGCCTCCTGGTGGGGAAGAGAGCCCCGGAGCCCCAGCCCCGCGCATCAGCCGCCGGCACTCGCGGTCCCGTCCCCTCCTGTTCCTCGGGGAGGAGGATGGGGCTGGACGCGCTTTCGCCAAGGATGCTCCTGGGTCTGGTGGCCTTGGGGATCGTTTTCTGCGGGGAGCTGTGTGTCTCCGCTGGCCTTGATTATGACTACACTTTTGATGCGAGCGAAGAGGATAAGACAGAGACTATCGATTACAAAGACCCGTGCAAAGCCGGTAAGTCCTCTCCAAGTTGCGACCCCGGAGCGGCGGGCGCGCGGGGCCCGCGGAGCGCTGGGCTTGCGATGGGCGGTGGTGGGAGCTCACCTGTTTCCTCGCCTCCCTCGCCGCCCCTCCTTCTCGCCTCTGCTCTCCCCTCCCGTTCCTTTCCCTTTCCACCCCCGAGTGGCAGCGCCGCGGCCTGAGTTGCCTGGAGTTCTCTGGCGGTGGCACCGGTGCCAAGCGCCCGTCCTGCAGTTGGAGTAAGACGTCCTGGAGTTTCTCCCTTCCCCTCCCCCAGTGAAACGGAAAGAGTCACAGACACCGCAGGCTGCGGGGGGTTTTCAGTGTCAGCACTCGGGGGGCTTGGTGCTTGCAGCAGGGACACTGCCTCCTCGGTTCCAGGGCGCGGTTCCCTTGCGTTCCTCCGAGACCCAGGGGGCAAACTTCCCCAAAACATGAATAGGGATGGCACCGCTACCTCGGGACACATTTGCTCCCCGTTTCGCTGGGAATTTCAAGAGTACGTTCCAGGCTAGAAGGGCATTTTGACCACTATGGAAGAAGAACTAACTCATTTCTAGATGGCATTCCAATTTGTGTGCCCTAAAACATGTTTTTCCAAGTTGCAGCCCCAGCCGAACTTGAGTCTTCCTTCCTGTGAATACCCGGGGAACCCCAGCCGGACTCGCACAGCCCGGAGGCAGGGCTGCTAGCCCGGCGCGGACGCCGCGGTCTCTGCCCTCCCCTTCCCGGCCGGCGCCTCCGCGCGTCCCGCCCCCGCAGGGCGGGGCTCCCCTTGCGCCCCTCCCGCCGCCGGAGGTCGGAGCTCGGAGCTGCGCGCGAGCACCACGTGAACGCGGCAATGTCCCCGGGCGCTTGGGGGCTCCCAGTGCTGTCCTCTGCCGGGTTGTGATCGGGGTGACCCTCAGCTCATAATTAACTCTGGAAAGGTTGTGAGGTTTGTGGGACGCGCGTTGGGTAGAGCCCCGAATTTGCAGCCCCGCGGCGGGAGCTCGGCCCGGCGGAGCAGGGGGTGGGCGAAGGCTCAGCCGGCAGTGCAGCTCCAGATTGCGCGCGCTGGCTAGGTCGGTGCCTGGGATTGCGAGGTAAACCGTATTCTGCCTTTCTTTGCTGAAGCAAGGAGACGTGTACATCAGTGAAGGAAAATGCTGGAGTTCCCTACTTAATTTTTACCTTGGATGACGCATTAGTCAGAGGAGGAGGGTGGCTGCATTGGGTTCGGTTTGTGAGGTCTTCCTCCTTTCTCGGAGCACCCCAGTATAGATGCTTACTCACAATTCTGAGTGTTTCAGCGGAACCTGTCTCTCCGGAACTCAGCGTCATTACTTGATTCAGCCTTGTTTACAAGTTCCCGTCTGTCACCTCCAATGCTCAACACAACCCCAAGTTTCAAGGGTCTTGCTCCATGGTGAGGATGAGGAGACACTGCCTGGCTGCAGTGTAGGACCAGCCTGGGTGATTCCTTCAGTGCAGGGATAGGTTTCCTTTCTGTAGAAAAGAGGTTTGAGTCATAAATGCGATTTGATGAAAGTCGTAGTTTAATTTATTTAATTAATTGTGTGTCATTGATGAGATTGTGTAGGAAAGTATCTATTTTGATGCTGTCATGTGTGAAAGATTGAACCGCGAATCAATACAAGGTATTACACTGCATATTTCAACATACTTCAGATACAGATGCTCATTTTCCTCAGCAAATAAACGTCCAAGGCAAAGGAAAAATTTCAGTGTTCAGTTTCTTTTTTCTCTTTGTTACTGATAAATTTTTGAACATAGCTATTGAAATTAAGACAAACGAAACAATAGTTTTGAAAGAATTACCACACGGCTTCCTTGTGCTTAAGTATAAGAGGACTCATACATGTGTCTAGTTGTGTGTGTGGTGAGAGGGAAAATAAAAAACGGCCTAACTGGAAGGCCAGAAGAATGCACGGAATCTGAGATTCCCTGCTCTTCAAATGTAATGAAATGAAAAGCTATAATTTACCATCTTGGCTATAGAGCGGGCAGAATCATAGTGCCTCCCTTTGGCATTCTATAAGACGAAAGTTGTAATAACAGGAAAAGCATTAATACCTTAAAACCTCCAACAAGAGCCAAAAGAAGATCACTGAACTAAGAAAGGGGAGAACAGGTTTGTGAAGGAAGAGAAGTGCCTGCCACATACTTGGCGGCTTCTGATCTGCCCATTTCATGTAAGTAGCAGATTTCAAGTGCTGGTCCATGGAAGAAAGGGCCTGTCCTGGCCTTCTCTAAGAAGAAATCCAAGGTTCCTTAAACTACACGCAGGGTAGATGTTGTGCTGATGGACAGAACTTTACGGTGTCAAAGCATCTTAAAAGTTAAGTTTGTAGGTACACTTTTGATACACAATGATGACATCCATCATAGGGAATTTGTACCTGTACATGATATATCTTGATGTTTCTTTCTTTCCCATTTCCCGCCGCTATCTTCAACCCCTCTTTTTCTCCTTATTTAAAAAAGCGTTTTCTATTTTTCCTTTTTTCGTATTTTTTCCTTTCTTTCCTTTTCCCCTCCCCCTCCCTAGTTCTCCTTTCCATTTGTATGTTGTTTGTTCTATTTCACAATATCTATTACATATTTTCGCCCTCGTTTACACTTTCAGCTTTTCATATCAGAGGAACAATGCAGTATTTATATATGTGTGTCTGATTTATTTCACTTAAGAGTATGGTCTCAAGGTGCATCCATTTACAAAACTGAAATGTTTCAGGTTTATCCTTCTTAATGGCTGAGTTGTACTCCATTGTATAAAAAACCACATCTTTATCCCTTCATTGGTTGATCTGGACTGTTTCAAAGATTTAACTCTTTAAAACTGTGTCACTATAAACATGAGTGTACATATATTGGTGTGGAAGGATATATTTTATTCTTTTGGGAAGATACCAAGTACAGGAATAGCTGGGTCAAATGGGGCATCTAGTTTTAGTTTTCTGAGAAATCTCCACATTGATTTCCACAGTGGTTGCTCCAGCCTACGTTCATTGAACAACTTTTGCGCAGTAAAAGACATCACCAGAAGAATGAAGAGACAATCCACAGAGTGGGAAAAAAGGTTTTGCCAGGTGTTCTCAAACAATGTACTAATATTGGTGTGAGGAGAGAGTCTTTTTTTTCTTTTCCCTTTTTAGGTACCAGATATCCAAATTCAGGGCCTTGCACTTGCCAGGTCAATGCTGCATGGCTGAGCTACATCCCTGGCACAAAAGACTAACATCTAGACTTTATAAAGAGCTCAGGAAACAAGACTCCCTCCAAATTAAAAAACAAGAATCCAAAACTGGACATCTGAAGTGAGTAGACACTTCTCAGCTGAAGAAGTACAATTGGCAAATAAACATGAAAAAAGGTTCGGCTTCACTGGTCATTTGAGAGGTTCGAATTCAAACAGTGCTGATGTTCCATCTCACCCCACCGGATGGCTGTTATCACAATATCAATCAATAACAAATACTAGTGGAGCTATGGGGAAAAAAGAACCCTTCTCGAAGTGTTTTTGAGTACATTGTTCTGGCTGATGCTCACAGCATCCAGTAGAGTTTGTTAATTTTCCTGTTACACATACAGGACAACAGATGCCTGCAGAGTGAGGTTAAACACCTTGTGAAGATTCCTCCAGTGGGAATTCCAGGTCTCCTAATGGCAAATTGTGGTTGTGTTTAAGGATTATGTTGCATTCATTCTTAGCTAGCTATTTAGAGGATTTCCTTTAACTGTATACCGCAAATTATTCCAGGCAGTCCTGAATAATAAGAGATGCAGTTACTTTTAGATCTTATTTGGCAAAAGTGAATAAGAACACAGTCTCATATTTTCAAAGCCCCAATTTTTGAGGGGCAATCATCATAACTGGTTTTTAATGTTTGTCACAGGTATGGATTATTAGATTATCAGCATTAGGAATGTCATGTGTTCTCAGTACCTTCTCAGTATCTGTAGACTGTTAACATAGACAGTTATAAAACCAGCTAAAACTTTTATTACAAACAAGATCAAATGCGTGGTACCCAAGAAGTATTCTCAGTTATAATATACTTAAAATTGTACTATCCTAATATATTTGTAAAGTAGAATCTGATTGTACACTCATCAGAAATCTGATTTTAAGTTCATGAAGCTATTGGACAGGAGGAAAGCTTTGTATTAATTTGACTTTTGACTTATACCTTTTAGTCTAAGTCAAAACAGGTAATTTAATATGATGTAGCTTCATTTATATTAATATAACCAAATCCATTAGGGCAGAATGTAGGTACTTTGGTATATGTACACATGCACATGGGGAAATTATTACATGCAGCTTTCTTCAGGGCAGTACGTGGTTATTTAAATGGTTATGCAGTCAGAGTTTGGTTACTCTTGGGTTCAAAAGGAGTCCTAGGGGATCTTGGGAGGTTGATTGTGCAGGAGCTCATTTTAGAGCAGGGGCTGAGGTGCACAGTTTCATCATGGTACTGCATTAGTAAGTGTTAATCTGAGGATTAATATCTGTGAAGAGTCTGGGAAAATTCCAGTTACAAATTAATCTTCTTGCAGATTCATGTAGAGAGTTCCTGGAAAAGCAGAGATCTGTTGAACCAATCATGCTAACATATATCCACCTTCCTTCCCTGCCTGCCAGCCTCCCACTGTGTGGCCTTTTCTTGTTTCTTTTTGTGTAGAGGGATATTAGGGAAGCTCAGGCAACTAAAAACAAAATATCTAGTAGTGGAGATTAAATTAGTGTTTTTGATGATTAGTAGAAGATCCTTGAAGTACCCTTGTTCTCTGTAGACTTCTGTGAGCACCGTGATGGTGGGAGTGGAGGGAAAGCTTTCTACCTCGAAGATCCTGAGAAAATGATCTGTTTTTCTTAAAAGAAGTATCCAAGCACGATGAAGGGTCAGCAAAGGCAAGGTTGAATTTGCTTTTTGAGGAGCATCTGTGAGCCTGTTTATGTAGAAACAGACTAGAGAATTATTTCTGAT